AGTGAGAGCGTAGAGTGGGGGGGGGGGGGGGGGGGGGCCTGAGTCCAGCTCCTAAAAAACAATCATCATATCAGAAGAACCAGCACTAAGTGGATTTGCAGCAAAGTCAATGACTGACTGGAATACAGGACAAATCATTATAATGGTTAATTTTGGAATTGGGATTGAAGCATAGCAAAGGAGACACTTGTCTTATCATTATCCATATGTACCCATTAAAGGGAAATTCACAGGACTTTGGTCTCTGTGCACCAAATCATACCACCTTTCATACTCACACTCAAACATTCTCTCACACACATACACAATTGATTGCTGGAGACCATGAAGTGTTTAAAATAGAATGACTGATTGCTTGGGGGTAACAAATTACAAAACAACTCATGAGTCTGTGGCATACCTGGTGCAATCGTATCCAACGCGGCAGCTTCTCCCTCCTCGAATGCATGCACACAAATATGATTGAGCTATTCATCTTTGGTAATGTGCACTCAAGTGGATTCCCAGATATTATCCTGATCAGCTGTTTGAAGAAGGGAGAGAAAAAAAGATGCTACTCTAGCATAAAGATATTCCCTTGTAACTGAAATACACCAAACAAGCCCAGGTTGCTGCTTGGCCGCATTCAATAATAATTCATAGCTGTTTGGATAATAAATATCAGCTCTTGTAAGTCTGCAGTCCAGCTGAAATCATGGCCCCTGGAAAACCTGCTTTGTCCAACCCCTAGTATTCTTAGGTCAGAGTCCTTCCTCCCCAGCTTAATAAGAGTCAATTAAGGCTCCATCTAACCCTTTAAGCTTTCTCTTTTTCAAAACAAGGTGAAATTTGGCTGCAGTAAGAGACTAGCTACAAATCGCATCAGAAAAAGGCCATGCTAACCACATCACAGAGAACAAGCTCTTCTGGAGTTCTGAGGCCAGAGGGGGTGCGTGAATTTATTCAAAGCAATAGCTACTCATGCCAACAAGAGAATCACAACAGCCTCCCCCTCACAGCAACTGGAAGGAAATTAAAGAGACACCAGAACAATTCCTGTCCAAGCTTTTGGGGGATTTCTTTTTTGCTCTGGTCTGTTACGGTCAGTGGCATTTACTGGGAAAGAGACCGAAAAGCCTTAACACCAGCTAAAACAACAAGGAGTCCTGTGGCACCTTAAAGACTATTTGAGCATAAGCTTTCATAGGCAAAGACCCGCTTGTCAGATGTATGTCTCCTCATTTTTTGAGGATAAAGACTAACACGGCTACCACTCTGATACTTAATACCAGTTAGGCCACCATAAAGCCCAGGGTGAGGGGAAACAGTCCCAGACTAAAGAGAGAATAAAATCCCTGGAAGACTGAGGTGGTTACACCAGAGCAGAGAAATTCAATCACTGGAAGTGGAATCCCAGACAGGGTGCCTAGACAGAGGGAGGAAAATATAACTCCATATGGGGCAGTGCAAGAACTCAAGAATACCTGGAGAGGCTATTAAGAGCCTGGGTGGGTTCCAGGAATGGGGGGGGAACAGCAGAGTTTTCCCTATGGGAGGAGGCAAGGGGATTCTGTTAGGAGCAAACTAGGGGAAAAGCCTCAGAATGTTCTGGCTAGGGAGGGGGCAACAGAGACCTCAAGAGCAGGGCACATGAGAGTCCCCAAGTTGATGCAGAACAGGGAGACAGGGACACAAAGTGCGTGGGAGGAAGGAGGGCATTGGAGTGACCCCTATGGAATGGGTCCCACTGGGCAGGGGGAAGATGAGGACCTAAAAGGAGTGGGGGCTGGGGGATGATGAGGAAGCTCCATGGGGAACTCTGGAGGGGCTCTACGGGATCCCAGTGAGGGACAGACAGCTCGGAGGGGTGGAGAGGGCCTCCTGGAGACACAGAGTGCGAGGGGGTGAGGAACTGGGGGTGGGGTGAGGAGGAGAAGCTGGGGAATGAGGGGCAGGGGGAAGATGAGGACCTAAAAGGAGTGGGGGCTGGGGGATGATGAGGAAGCTCCATGGGGAACTCTGGAGGGGCTCTACGGGATCCCAGTGAGGGACAGACAGCTCGGAGGGGTGGAGAGGGCCTCCTGGAGACACAGAGTGCGAGGGGGTGAGGAACTGGGGGTGGGGTGAGGAGGAGAAGCTGGGGAATGAGGTAACCCTAGTGTGGGGGAGCAGCTGGAGGGGAGGGAGGTCTGGACAT